AAGCAAGAAGAAAAAGCAACAAGGAACAGGCGACAAGCAACAAGCAACACACGACACACACCACACGACACACGACACACAACACACAATGCACACACACACACAACACACAACAAAAAACCAACGTCAAACAACAAGCAACGACCAGCAAACCAAAAACATACGAGGTAACAAACAGCACACATCAACCAACAGACAACAAGCAGCCAACAACACACACCAGGCAACAAGCAATACGCAACAAGCTACTCGCAACAGGCAACAAGCAACACACAACAACCAACAAACAACAACCAACAACCAACAACCGACAGCCGACAACCAAGAACCAAGAACCAAGAATCAAGAAGCAAGAATCAAGAACCAACAACCAACAGCACAACGACCATGACAGCCACACCAACCACAACCACTACAACAGCCGCAATCACAGCCACAACTTCAAATCACAACCACGACAGCAGCCACAACAGCCACAACAACTGCAACAGCAACAGCAACCACCACAACACCACCACAACACCACCACACCACCACAACACCACAACACCACAACACCACTACCAACAACAACAACAACAAAAACAACAGCACCAACAAAAACCCACAACATCAGCGACAACTTCAACCACAACTACCACAACAACCACAACAGCAACAGCAGCAACACCAACACCGGCACCAGCACCAACCGCAACACCCGTACAAACACAAGCACCTCCACAACCACCACAACCACAACAACAACAACATCAACAGCAGCAACAAGTAAAATCATGACAGTTGGAAGAATAGCAGTACCAACGCCAGTCACAAGAACAATAGCAGTAGCAGGAACAACGATAAGACTACCCAACATCCCCAACACCAACACCCCCACAACCGCTGCTGCCGCCACCACCAACAACAATAGCAAGAGCAGCAGCAGCAGCAGCAACAGCAATAACACCGACGTCAACGGCAACAGCAACGGCAACGGCACCAGCAACAGCAACAGCAACTGTTCCACACTTCTCTGCCGAGCCGCCCCTGCTGCTGCTGCCGCCGTGACGACTGGATCAGCTGGTCTGCACGCTTCGATCACTGCCGCTGTTGCCATCATCTCGGCCTTGTTCTTGTCTTCTTTTTTGTCCTGGCAGAACCCGGCCCGGCGAGTCCTCGGACCGCGGTGGCTGCTCGCGCGCGCAGCGTCAGCCACTGGGATTCGAAACTCGAAGCAGCGTAGCATCCGAAGCTTGGTTTTATCCCCGGCAACTACACAGCCCAATTTTCTTACCCTATGGTCTTGACGAAGGGTCCCATGTTTGTGGAATGCTGAGCTCCAAACAGTCTTGCGGAGTCAGCCCCTTTGATCTGAGGCGCCACGAAGACACCCAGCATGTTGACAGAGAAAAGCAGGCCAGTCGGCGTGCAGCTCTCGTGGTGCCGAAGCTTTGCACAGCATGCAGCATCACATTCAAGGGAACATCCAAGGCAGCTTCGCTCTTCAGGTCCAATGCAGCAACAACCGACTATGGCCAAACGATAAGAGCAAAAGCTGACAGAAGTCATGGGGTTGACAGGCGCCAGATGCGCCACAGTCCGTCATCTCCGAGCTGCTGGGCAAAGATTTCTACTGCGGGTCATTTGGGGCTGCTTGTTTGCCTTCTTCGTGAGTGGATTGTGGGGATGTCGATCATTCCTGCGACAAACGGCGATGATCTTGACTGCGTTGATCATTCTCCGATCCTTGCCGACCTATTGACCTCGCCAAGGTGGGTCGGCACTTTGAGGACAGGGGCTGTGGGACTGGAGGTAGGTGAGCTTGGAGTTACGATTTCTTTCTGAGAAGAACTTCTGTTCATATCTGTTCCCGTACAGCGGAGAGTTTCTTAGCGGGCCTTTTTTTTCCTCCCATCTGCTCTCAGGAGCGCATGGCTCGAGGCCAGGAGCTGAGTTCAGCCTCGGCTCCGACAGGGATCTCTGAAGAGAGATTTGTGCAGGTAGAGTCGGGTGCAGCCGTCTAGCAAACGTGCATTTTTGGAGGAAGTGCACCCAAGCAAGGATTGGACGAACTCCGTCTGGGCATGCTGGGCTAAGGGCAGTATCTCCTGAGTGCAGAAGACACGTCGCAGGTGCTGCTTGGTGCCCTCATCACGCCCATCCTTACTGCTGCCAAGGACTGGGTTCCTCCTATTGAGGATGGGGTCGTTGGCCTAGGTTTGTACGGGTTTGTCTGAGGGACTCGCCCTTGCCGCCACACGCAGAAAGAGCACTAAAGTCTTCAAACTGCTTACCATAAACTCAGATGTCCGAAGCCGAAGTCTTCAAGCGCAGCACGGAGTTTCTCCCCAGTGTTTCGAATCGTGAGCCCTCAGACTAGAATCTCGGTTCCGTCGACAAAGCTGATTGGCCTCAGGAGCTGCTCGAGTGGTTGCGAGAGCCCGGTGGCCCGCGCGCGTGTCTGCCTGTCTTGCCTTGCCTGCCAATACCTGCTGCTGGCGGTCGGCCGGTCTGTGCCGGTCTGTGCGTTCAGCTTGGCTCAGCTTTGCACTCTGATGGACCACCAAGGTCGCTTCTTCCTCCAAAACCTCCGACGCCCTCGTCGAAGCCGAGTTCAGAGGTGGGTCCGAGGGTCTTAAGGTTCTGGCTTCCTGGCTGGGCGGAAGCCAGGAATGTCTTGGGAGGCTGCTGGCGGGATTCCAGGAGTAGAACTACAAGAGGTAAGAGGTATGCCTCGAAGATCCTCGAAGCTTACGCGACTGCAGGACCTGATGCGTACCGACGTGTTTAGAGCCTGTGCAACTCACTGTGTCACATACTGCGTTGATTTCCTGCCTTGGGGAGGCTTCTGGAAAAGCACAGGCGACAAGGCCTGGAACAATGCAGGCTTCTGCAAGTTACGCCTGCAAGCCACTACATGCCGAGCTAGATGGCATGAGTGAGAAGCCGGGGGTTGGATCCATGAGTCATTCCAACCCAGAACAGCACGCACCAGCAAACGCACACATGGATGCTGCCACCTCTGTCTTTCTGTCTGTCGGTCGGTCGGTCGGTCTGTTTGTCTGTATGTATGTATGAATGTCTGGATGGATGGATGGATGGATGGATGGATGGATGGACGGACTTGGGTAAGCCATCGACTTTCACTGATGGACAACGTACACATAGGTCACATAAGCATCTACGGAGAAATCAATAATTTCCGAATCAAGGCGATGGTTTACACCCTAGAGCCATTCCGGATCACGGAACGTGAGAGCGATGCATACAGGATCATGCTTCCGGGCGTGGTTATGTGAACAGCACAGAAGCATTTAATTTGCTGCAAGCCAAAAATCAACCGGGTTTGATGACACAGGGTACGGCCTCTCTTACACACACATACACATACATGTATGTGACTGTATGTGTGTGTGTACATCCATGTTCATACATATGTGTGCAAGGATGCTTATCATGCGTAGAAGATGTCGAAAGCACAGCGAGGCTACCGTCCAAGAGGGGAGCAGATGTGGTGTCGACAGGTCGCTGTTGCTTCGCAGTGTGCTCTACGCCCTCTTCTTCTGCACTGCAGGGAGCACAGAGAGCACAGAGAGCCGAAGCCGACACTAAGCCGTCGAAGACCAAAGCGCCGACAAAAGCTCTGAGGTCTATGCCTGGAGGCAGTTCCGATCTGGGAATCTCTCTCTCAGTGTGTCAAGCTGAAGTTGGGGCGCCCAGGCACAAAAACGTGTGCAACGCTGTTGCTGTAATCTGCTGTAGAGCGTCCGTCCTTCTTTTGTGACTTTTTCATATCCCACGCCACAACGAGCACCACCGGCCTCGTTGGCTTTTGTCGTGAATCTTGAGGTTACAGACTTCGTTGGCTTTGGAAGCGTATCCCTTCAGCTGGAACCCAGTCGGCTCGGCCCAGGAAGATTTCCCCTCGAGACGAGCTGCTGCCCTTACAGTCCCAACTACAGCTTTGTCCAAGAAGCAACCCTGAGTCTGTCATCTCGGCTCTAGGGGTAGTCCAGGTCTGCAAGATGAGCTCTACCCCATCTTGCTGCGAAGTGACACTCGCAGAGCTTATCCGGACACGTCGAAGTTTCCGATGACGACGTTCTCGCAGCTTCGTGCTTCAGAAGCCGTGCATTATACCTACCATAAAGCAAAGCAAAGTATGCTATGCATAGACGACAATAACCGATGAGAGCGCAAAGAAACTTCAGATGTTTTGCAATGAAAGGATGTGTGCAACTCTGTACCTCTGCCATCCTCTGCTTCTCCGTTCTTCGTAGATGCCACGGCTTGCAAAAGCTCATCTGCAATATCAAACATGGAATCGCAATCTAACGACAGCGGGGGCGGAACAGATTTGCATCGACATGTGTAGGGTTTCACCTTGTCAGCGATCTAACTTGGGCCATTTGCCCGGCTGCCAGCCGCAGGGTAGAAAGCGGGCCTAAGGAATGACACGGAACCTTATTCGCCCGAGCCACGAGGGCTCCCAGAGAGCCCGCCTCGCGCCACGACTTTCGTGCGGCTAGCTTTTATCTTAGCGCCCAGGCGACCATGAGTGTCGCTCGCGAAAGGTTCTCGCCGAGCCTTAACAAAATCCCGCATAGTTTTCAGAGCCAAGCTACACTACAACGGGGGGAGATGGAGGGCTCCACTCTATGACTCGAAGTGGGGAGCCGGCTCCCCGGAACGTGGACGTCATGGCCCGGCCTTGAGGCATCCGAGGGAATGACCCAGCCACAGGGGGTTTAAGCGAGCGGAAAAGGGAGCAGCGGCGGTAGAGGTTTGCATGGCCACGCAGTAGAGGCCCAGGGAGCTTCGTTGACGCTTCAGCTGTTGTGGCCCCAGAACGGCTGTGATAGTAGAAGACAGAACCGATATTCTCTGATTTTCAGATGAGTGAGAGGATCCAGGCAAGGGAAGGTTGACGGGAAAGGCTCGGGGTTCATGCTTTATAGTTTCGCGGTTAGGTTCAGGGCCGCGCTTTGGGGTTGAAGCTCCGGTTTCCTAGACACCGAATGGCGGCCCGGGAGTCCGAAGATGACTTTCGCGTCGAGGCCGCTGGAAAAGTTTCAGACAACAGGGGGCCTCAGCTGGAGCAGAGCAGAGCAAAGCGAGCTCCAACCCTTCCCCGCCAGGCGGAGCAGCTCCTCGGGCTTTTCCGCGAGGCGGTCCTTCTTGAAAAAATTCGGAAGTCTCGAGACCAGTGTCGCGGAGTGCGCAAGACTCCCTGCATTCGTTCTGTGACGTCTAAGTTCAGGGTTTGTGAAGGTGCTGCTATGTGCTGCTTATCGGCTTCTGTGTTTTCTTTTGGAAACCCGCTGGCCCCAGGATCGCTTTTTCGAGAACTGGTGGAACTAGGGCACTAGGGGTTGTAGCCTGGGTCTTTCGTTTTCCTGTGACTTCAGTCTCAGACTCCTTAGAGGTGGAAAAAAGTGGTACAGCGCTTCGGTACATCGCTTCGGTCTCGCTTTTGGCGAGGTCTTGGCACAAGAGCTGGTGTCGGTCAAGGCCGCTTCAGCCGCAGTCGCAGCGGCAGTCGCAGCGGCAGTCGCAGCGGCAGTCGCAGCGGCAGTCGCAGCATCGCAGCACGACGCTTTTTAAAGTTTGAAGTTCGTGGCTGTCGTAGTCGTTGTAGCTCAAGCTCGTCAGATCCAGTTTCCGCCATCCCTGTAGATCTTTTCATGCCCAGCATCGGTCTTCAGTGCACCGCACCTTGAATACAGATTTTTGGCGCAAGTCGCCGCTTTTCGGATGTTTGGCTACCAACTTTACAGCAGAAAGTTGTAGGATTGCAAAGAAACGCGGCTCGAATGTGATACCATGGGCATCGGATCCACGAAAATCGAGAGCCATGAGGAGCGCGGAAATCGGGTCCGCCTTTCAGGGCTCTCCCGGCTTCGGGTTTTGAGGATTGGGGGTTCGAGAATGGTTCAAAGGGGAAAGGGGTGCGGGCTTCTCTTGCATGAGCAGCAAAGCATCCCGGGAACAATTGTCGAGAGTGGCTCTTTTTCGTCTCGCTTTCTTTCCTTCCTTCGTGCTCTTTTGTATTTCTGTACCATGCCGAACAGCGGGACATGTTCTCGCAGTGTTGGGATGCAGTCGTATTGCGGTATAGTAGCTGCATGGCACCGCATCGATCGCTGGGGACAGGAGCTGGAGGTCGGCAAGCGTGTGGTCGTCATGGTGCGACTCGGCTCGTTGGATCCGTGCACTTTTTTTTTAAATATCTTTTTTCAAGGACCCTCCTTGGCTCCCCAAGCAATATCTTAATTAATATGTCCATGTGAACAGACAACACCGGGACAACTCCAGCCAAGAAGATGGTTTTGTTTCTCTGAAATCTCATATTTTGCAGATGAGACACTAATTCTAAAGCTACGCAGCCCGCCTCGGCTCGACAGTGGCGAGGGAAGCGCAGGAATGAATGGATGAAGATGGGAAGGAGCGGGCCAGCCGGGGTGGGGGGTCGAAACTGCGGCCAAAATGCGCATGTCACCAAACTTTTGGGCTGCAGGGAGGAGGATGAGGTAGAGGGGCCGGCAAGCTTGTGAGTTCCGCAAGAGAACAAGGTAGGGAAGAGAGGAAAACAACCACAGAAGAGGTAGCGGAGGAGGGGCGCCAGGAAGGGAAGAGGAGGAATGAACGGATGAAGGTGGGAAACGGGTACCAAACCTAAACAAATATGGGGTGGGGTTGGACGTGAAGGGGGGGTGAGAAGGACAAGAGGGAAAGACCAAATGGGGGAAGGGAAAGGGCAGGTGAAATTTGTGAGAGGAGGGGCCAGCCGGGGTGGGGGGTGGAAACTGTGGCCAAAAAGCGCATGTCACCAAACTTTTGGGCTGCAGGGAGGAGGATTAGGTAGAGGGGCCGGCAAGCTTGTGAGTTCCGCAAGAGAACAAGAGAGGGAAGAGAGGAAAAAACACAGAAGAGGCAGGGGAGCAGGGGTGCCAGGACGGGAAGCGGAGGAATGAATGGATGAAGATGGGAAGGAACGAGCGTGCTTGTGTGTGTTCAAAGTTGTTTGGGGTACTAAACCTCAACAAAGATTTGGGGGGGCAGGGGGGAGGGGCGGGGGTGGGTGTGAAGCGGGGGTGAGAAGGAACGAGGGAAAGACCAAAACGGAGGGGAGGGAAGGTGAAATTTGTGAGAGGAGGGGCCAGCCGGGAACCAAGCTTGGTGGACTGGGGTAGAGGCTTTGACGTGTGCGGCGGGAGCTCTTGTCCAAAAAGTTGGAGTGCCTGGTCGAAAAAGGTGGGGGTAAAGGCGTGCTAGCCAGTCAAGCTCTGCGCGAGCCAGTGGGTCCCAAAGCTAGGCCACCAGGCGCGCGTGTCTGTTTCAGTAACAAAGTTGGGGGTTGGGGTTGAACATTGTTGCAACCTCGGTCCCCGGAGTGAAGGGAGCCAACAACTCGAACTCGAACCTCAGGTTCAGTGTAGGGGCGAGGATTAGGTAGAGGGTACTTAGGAAAGTGCCGGAGGCCTGTGGCCTCGGCGGATATTTGGAGCTAACACGTACTGTACTAACAAGCTATTGCATGCAATTGGAAGGCATAGTGCATATCATGGGTTCAAATTGAGCTATGGGAAATAAAAGAGTATCATCAGTACGTTTTTCTCTCGATGGACCAGCTGCAGGAAGATAGTCCCAAGACAGAGATCAGCCATACTTAGGCTCTTTACTCACAGACACATTCGACAACAGGCGGAACCAGCTAGCAGATTGAGAGATTGTATGGCAACTTGCAATCGACTTTAGATCTTTTGGAAAACGGCCAAAGCATCAATCAAATGGAAATCCAAGTAATAAATGCAATCATAAGGTCACTCCTATCACGTACAAAGGCACGGCCTGGCCTCTTGTGCGCTCCAAGCCTGCACGACAAAGGGGGCTAGCAGCTTGGATGCATCAAAGGCTTTGAGAGTGTGGAGGCCAGTGTCACAGCTTCCAAGAAACCCTCACAGCTTCATGAACCTCTCAAGGCTTCCTTTGTGACCATTGCGATGGCGAGGCCGCTCGTGCGCAGTCAGAGTTTCGCCAGGGGCCTTTCGCGCCTGAGGATTGCTGCAGCTGCGGGCTCCCGGAAATCAGTGATATTGTGCGCGTATTTCATTCCTCTTAGGTGGCAACTCCAAGCCGGACGTCATTGCTTTCCCCATAGCCAAAAGCTTAAAACGGGCCCTTCGTGGACACTAGGTGCTAAGTACAGCCCTGACATGAGATGCCGTGTTCTGAGCGCGAGCGCACTGCTGCTCGCGGTTGTGAGCCTGATGAAAGGCTGTGAGGAGACGGAGGAAAGAGGTGACACCTTCTGGCACGACGGTGTATTGTGGTGCACCTGCCCCCCGAGTGGGCCGCGTCAGGACTGCAAGAGAAGCTGCTCAGGCGGAGACGTCCAGAGCTGGGCACCTCACTGCTGTCCGAGCCCGGAGGCGAATTCGAGCACAAGCACCACCACCCTGACGGTCGCAGTCACACCCTGAGACCAGGATGCTGCGTGGTCTCACATGCCGCACTGACGGATCTAGAGCTGCGACTTTGCAGGAAAACAGGTTTGCAGTGCTACCCCCAGTCCACTCTAGGGCTGGACAGATTTCGCTAAACTTGCTTCGATCTGTGCTATTCGTTTTGTGTTTAGCCGCAGCCGAGGATGAGCATCCACGCATCGTGTGTCTTTGGCTGACCCTAACTTCATCTTCGCCTCTGTCAATGCTTGCCAGTGCCGAGCTCTCCAACCAAACCTCCTCAATTCTGAGATCAAAATTCCAGCCAATTCCTGATTACCAGCTAGATTCGCAGCTGGGCGACAACAGCCTCATGCTTGCAAGCCTGTACTTGTGTTTCTTTGCGCAATCTGCTGGAATTGGGCCACTGCAAGATTGAAGCGATTAAGAGTCGACCAAAAAGCTGTCGAGTGAGGTTTGTCAGCATCACGGAGGTCCTCAAAAGACCCCACATCATGCGTCTCGGATTTTGACAAAGTTTATGTGTATAATGCATATATATATATACCCACATAATAGTGATATCTCTATATATATATATATGTGTATATGCATATATACATGTATATATATATATGTATGTATGTATGTATGTATGTATGTATGTATGTATGTATGTATGTGCGTATACATACACACATATATATATATACACATGAATATACTTGTATATACATATATATATATATATGGTCCCCCAAAACCTACCTCCAAGCCTGTCTGTATACATGTATGCCACCACACGGGACCACATGTCTGAACAAATGCACACACACACATGCACACATGGATTAGCGTATACGAACATTATTAAATAAGCCGCGAGGGACCGCGTATGCCGGATCGTGTCCAGTACAGTTCAGTAGACTTCAGTATTGATACTGCAACCCTGCCCGGATCAGGGATCAGAGATGCCGTGGAAAACTTTTCGGTGGCATCTCTGATTTCTGATCGGGGCTGGGTTTCAGCATAATTCAATATATTTTGATATGTTTAATACTGAGACACTTAGGTTGGAAATGAACCTAATATTGTTATATACGACATGTTGTTGTTTATATTGTATACCTAGCTAGGTATTCTAGCATTCAGACCATGTGTGTGCTGACACGTGCATGATTGTCGCGCAGCAGCAATACACATGACTTCACGTTTGTGCAACACCTTATGAGTACCCTATCGAATACCTTATAGAGTGCCCTGTAGAATACCATCTGGAATACTTTGTAGAATACCTTACAGAAGACCGCCCATGTAATATACCCTCTGTAGTGTGATATACCGACCTCATAGAATATTCTCTAGCATACCTGGCAGGATAACCTGTAGACCCTCTTATAGAATCCCCTATAGCAGACCCCATAGATAACAATTTAAATATGGAAAATCAGCAGGAGCCTGCGTGTTACTAGCGTAGCATACAGAGGACATTGGACAATAGTTCTACTATGTTGGTTCGAACGGTCTTGTGTCGTCGTGTAGACAGGGAATACTAGGCAATGCTTTGTATCTTTATGTTGGTTTGAACGGTTGTGATCCATACGTGCATGCATGTGGATTTGTAGATTGTAGTTGGCGGTGCATATGTACGTATGTATGTACTTAGGTTCGTACGTATGTATGTACGTAGGTTCGTATGTATGTATGCATGTGTATATGTGTATGTGTATGTATGCATGCATGTGTGTCTATGTGTGTGTTTCAAGCACCCGCATCTTCCGTGCTTAGCTCAGTTAGGCTGTTCTGCCTGACGAGATTTCCTGGATGCCTGGATCCTCCCCGAAAGGAAAAGCCTGGGCCTGAAGCTGGAGCCAGCGACCTCCAGCGCTGGGGTGGAGACAGCGCCTTGGAAACGCACCCCTCCAGCCTACACAATTGAACTTGGGAGCCCAATACCGTCATACCATCAAGGTTTGTCGAGTGTCGCAGGCTTCAAGAGATGCAGCTTTCGGTGCACAAGGGTTCAGGTCAGGGCTCAGGTTTATGGTCTACTTGTACCAGCTTCAA